ATCAGAGAGCTCCGCACCTTGCACTACAACGACTCACGACTGCACTACTACTTTGAGTGACTACTACTTTGCTGACTGGAATATATATAATTTTATATTTTCCTCTGTATCAGTGCAAAGGAATATAAAAAATGATTGTTTATTGGACATTTTATCTCAATATCTGTGGTCACAAAATTTTTTTATTGTCCAGGACCCTGTTGTAAGTAGGCACACTGCACTTTATCGATATGCTAATGATTTTTCAAACTGCATAAATTGTGATTTTTGATTCATACTCATAGTCACTGTCATAACAAAACCTTGTATTTCTGAAAGGGTAACTTTTTATAAGAAGAAAAAAAATCTTCTTAACTTCACTGTAAGTTTAATGCTTGACTTCAATGCAAGTTAAAGTATCAAGATTTCATTTCAATTAATTTTGGACCATTTCTATCATCCATTCACTATGAAAACCTTTAACTCAACCTAAAAGGCAACTGCTCTGGTGCACAACATTAAAACTCGAAAAAACAAACTTACATGATTTTGATATAGCAGCGACAATGTAAAACTAAAGATGCAACCCTAAAATATAGCCCACTGGAGAAGATCCCCTGCTGTTGTAAAGTTTTCAGGAAGGATTCAATTAACAAAATAATAGTAGTATGGGCCAAACAACGGCATTCTGCTGCTACCACACATAGTGATGTAATCTCTCACAATTGTACAGTCTTACAGCCGGACATCTGCATTAAGAATGTCAAATAAGGCTGCCTGAAAAAGAGAAAAAACAAAACTGGTATAAACTCTAGAACATGAACACAGCTCAGGCAAACTAAAGCCTTTGCGATAATCAGCTTTCTATTGTTCATCTGCCAAAAATGCACTCTCATTCTCCATCTCTATTTGTTACTGCTGAGCATTTTATGGGTCCTAATTGTCTTTGCCAATCCCCATTCCAGCACTTCTGATGAGCTCTCTCAGGAAAGTGTGTCATCTCTGGTTGCCAGCACCAGTCGTCATCTCTGTCACCCAGATGTTTAGTGCGCAGCTGGAATCAAACAGCCTGTACATGCAGCCTAAATTTATGTGGCACATACTGCAGCCTCTTTGCCCTGCCAACACTCTATGCCTGCTACAGGTAATGAAATCAGTAAATGGAGGTCTCTGCAAAAGCGCATCTATCCTGCTCAACGTGGTGGAGAGGGAAAGGTCAGAGAGCATGAGAAAGACAGAGAATGGGGACAGGAAATGTAAATCAGTGAAAATGCAGGGCAACTCTACCAACTAAATTCTAAACCTGAAAAGGACAGGCATCTCAATTTTAGAAATGCAATATGAGGATATTTTATTGTTGTCGTAATAAACAGTAGCTTTTCTGAGCATATACTGTCAGTTCTTGCAGAACTCTGCCCAGCTGCATGTCTCATTATAAGGACAGCATAATTAGTCCTGTTTAATTGGATTTAGTGCAGCACAGTATATGAGATGCTGAATAAAAACATTAAACCCAGAGTTTTTGATGCAGGTTTTAAATGTGGGACTACTGTGATACATATCATGTACTGTGAAAATGTCTTTAAAGGGGAATTCAACTGATTTTCCAAAAATTCTGCATAGTTAAATGGTTAAGATGTAAACAAAGCAATTCAGGGTGGTTTGATGTGAAAGGCTCAGTTCTAGAGAAACTTACAGAGTCAGAACTGTTCACAGTGTTGGTGATAGGAACCAGACGTCTGAAGAGTTTTATGTCTCTAAAAGCTCCCCCACAAAAAAGTTACATGAAATGGTCATGAATGCAGTGCCTGATGCCTGAGACATTGTTTTACGATAGTTCTGAGGTAAAGTTTTTGCTCAAAACTTATTTTTAACATCCATTCATAGTGGAGAGGTACATGCGGGGTGTTGTAGGGGAAAACAGTACCCAGAGTTATTTTTTTAGATTTTGCCACTAATTTACCATCATCAACATTACATATAAAACTCAGAAGACACGTGTAGGTTCAGTGGTCATTTTGGATAGTACATAAAATGGCTACAGTGGTGTTGTAGACACTGAGACCCCTGATTCCTATCACCACCACTGTAAAGAAATTTGTCAGCAAGTTTCTCTACAATGATCCACTTAACATCAAACCACTGAATGACTTTGTTTACATCTCAACCATTGAATTATGTAGAAATTTTGTGTATCATGATATTATACTTTTGCCATAATATCCATTTCTACACTGACCTGATACACTGGTTTGGTATCAGAACTGATACTAACCTCATTAAATGTTTTTTTTTAATCAGATATCAGTCAGATGTGACCGATCCGCATTCAATATGGTTTATCACTTATGGTAATTGTAAAATAGTAACAGACTGTTTTTACTGTTTTATATAGTCTTCTCTGTGATACCTTGTCTTCTATCATTTTTTTACATTTATTTATTCTGCTACCACAAAACATAAGCGCCCTAACAGAGCATGGGTATCTGAACTAAATATTGACCTATATTCTGAGATCAGATATTGTAATCAATACTGGAAGTGGAAAAAGTTGGATTGATGCATCCCTACTCGATGTGCATTTGTCTGCACTAACTATCTGAGTAGTAATTTCTTTTCTTGTTCATCAAGTTCTAAACACAACAGTTTGGAAGAAAAGTCCCTATTACACACAGCATTAAGAGCGAAAATTACATGGCAGAAAAATAGCTGATGTTCTCTCAATATTGGTGCATCAATTACACACAGTTTATTAGCGCAGCGTAAATGAAACTCCACTGTTACCGTCAGCATAATCCCGAATCGTGTGCTTAAAGTGATATCCAAACAAACAATGAAGCGATCACCCATAAACAGTGCATTAATAACAGCATCAGAAGTTGTTTGGCCTATTTTAGGCCCTCCATCATAACCGTGCCAAGGCCATGTGGTCCATTTCAATCACCCCGCTGTTACTATTGCCCCTTCTATCCCTCTCTCCTTGTCCACACCAGGAGAGATCCATTAAATAAATTGTGTTGTTATAATCTCCTCTGATGTTGGCTCCTAATAATGCCCGTGGTTATGTTAACCCATTTTGATTACCCCATTTCCAGGCTCCATAACCCATGAGAAGCACTGCTAGCCTGCTAGTCTGTTTGAAGCAATAGAGAATAATAACACATGAGTGTGAATGGAAGAAACAAGAGACTTCCTTGATCTCTGCTGCAATTGAGGCTGATTGATACCTGGTAGTGCTGGGCTTATTCAAAGTGCCTTTTCTCACCAAGCTACCTTCCTTGTCCCATAATAGCCACTCTACTGTCAATAGATCATTTAGAAGATTTTCAAAGCTCCTTCTATATATATATATATATATATATACACACACATTATGTATTCAGGTTCTAAAGGGTTAGAAGAAATGAATGATCGAATTTCGAATGATCGATAAAGCATCCCAACAAATGAATAATCTTATTTATAAGATAAAGACAAAGAACAAGATAAAATAAGGAAAAAACAACACAAAAGACATCAGATGTCAAATCCATTTTGTAGACTTTTGTATTGTGTACAGGTGATACTGTAAAACTTTTAGGAGTGCACAGATGTCCTTAGGCCTATATTTTTAATAAGTTAATACGGCAAAACTTTATAAAACTGAATGGAAGATGTGTTAATGCCCAAGTTTTTAATAAGCTAATTTATAAAGCAAAAATCCCTTAGGACTGAAAGGAAGATGTGTTTAAGCTCATACTTTTAAATGAGCTGATTTATACAACAAAGCCTGATGGAAGAAGCGTTTAGTGTTTTAATTAGCTAAATTAAACCGAACTAATTACTGAACGGTAGATGTTTAAGCCTATGCTTTTTAATTAAATCTAAACAGCAAATCGTCATAGAACAGAATTGCAAGTGTGTTTAGGTCTATGTTTTATTAAACTAGTTAAAACAGATTTGAATGGTAGATGTCTTTAGGCCTATGTTTTTTTAATAAATTGATTTATACAGCAAAACCCCATATAACTGAATGGTAGATGTGTATTTATGTGTCTTTTTAATTAGCTGACGTAATATAGCAAAACTTCATAGAACAGAATGGAAGGTGTGTTTATGCCTATATCTGTAAATTAGCTTATTTGTATAATAAAAGGCCCTTAGAATTGAATGGAAGAATGTTTTGGCCTATATTTTTTATTAGCCGACTTTATATAGCAAACCTTCATATGACATAATGGAAGGTGAGTTTGGGCCTATATTTTGAATTAGCTTATCTGTACAGTAAAAGCCTCTTAGAACTGAATGGTAGAAGTGTTCAGGCCTATGTTTTTTAATTAGCCGACTTTATATAGCAAACCCCCATAGAAAAGAATGGAAGGTGTGTTTAGGCCTATATTTTTAAATTAGCTTCTCTGTACAATAAAAGCTGCTTAGAACTGAATGGAAGATGTATTTAGTCCAATGGTTTAATTAGCTGATTTTATATAGCAAACCCCCTAGAATAGAATGGAAAGTGTGTTTAGATCTATATTTTGAATTAGCTTATTTCTACAGTAAAGCCCATTAAAACTGAAAGGAAGATGTGGAGAACTATATTTTTAAAATAGCATATCTGTACTTTTAAAGCCCCTAAAACTGAATGGTAGATGTCTTTAGGCCTACGCTGTTTAATAAGCTGATTTTATATAGCAGACCTCCATAGAAGAGAATGGAAATTGTGTTTAGGCTTATGTTTTAAATAAGCTTATCTGTGCAGTAAAAGCAACCTAGAACTGAATGGAAGATGTGGATACCTATATTTTTAAATAAAAACCCACATTGATCTGAATGGTAGTCTTTAGGCCTATAGACTTTTGATTAGCTGGTTTAGTATATCATATACCCATCGAACAGAATAGAAAGTGTGTTTTGGACTATATTTTTAAATTAGCTGATCCAGCACAGTAAAAGCCCTTAGACCTGAGTGGAAGATGTACTGCCAACAGAGTGGCCCCTGCTCAGCTCAGCCTACTGGCTCACAGAAAAAGACAGAGAATGACCTGAAGTCACTGTAGGGGTGGATGATCCAGAAGCCGGCCGATTTGACCCTCTCCTGCTCCCTCTCCACGGCCTTCTCGCTGCCGAACATGCGCAGGGAGAACTTGTTGACCCCGGGCTGAAGCATGGCACCCAGTTGCCTGTGCATGAAGCCGGCCTGGTACAGTCTCTCCTCATCCATCTGCTCGCCACTCTCCAACTTCACCAGGCTGGGTGTCCTCTCCCTCTCCCTCTCCTCCACCACCACCTCCTCATCGTCCCTCTCTCTCTTCCTCCTCTCTCTCTCCCTCCTCTCCACCTCCTGCTCCTCCTCGTCCTCCTCCTCAGGGCTGGCCTCCTCCTCAGCTATTAGGCGCCTCTGCTCGGCCGCATCTCCCTCTGGTGTGCTGCTGCTGCCCCTGAACCTCCGGCAGTCTCCGTTGGCCCTGCTGAACGCTCTGCTGCCCACGTCCGTCTCCACCTCGCCTCCTCCACCACCACCTCCACCTCCTCCACCACCTCCGCGTTCACCTCCTGCTCTCTCTCTCTCTCCGCTGCTCCCAGTCGGGGAGGCGGAGGGCAACAGCTGCTTCATCCTCACGCTCTTCCTGCGCGCGTCCTGCTCGCCCTCCTCCTCCGCCGCGTCCCCGTGGCTATACAGGCGCTTGCGCATGGACGAGTGCAGCCGGTCCATGTCGAATGGAACGCAAGGAAACGGAGGCTGAATGGAAAAGAGCAGAGAAAGCGAGAAACAACTTCTTTACGGTCTTTTCAAGCCTCAGATCACACAGGCAGAGGAAGCTGGAGAGCAGCGCGTGCCGTCCATCCCGCCACTGGAAGAGAGGGAGAGAGACAGAGGGAGAGAGAGGGAGAGAGAGAGAGAGGGAGAGCGAGCAAGCAGAACAACGAATAGAGGAGCCACGCGAGCGGGCAGCGTCGAGAGGATGCTGGAGAACGGATGGATGGACGGTTACGGCAAACGACGTGACGACGCGACGCACGAAGAGCAGAAACCTCAGAGCAGACCTGAAAGACGAAACGAAACCAGAGCTCCAAAAATAAACGGGGATCAGGGCGAAGCCAGCCAGCCAGCCAGCCAGCCACACGCAGCACTTAATCCAGCAGCGTCCCGCAGCTTCTGTGGCGAAGTGAATGAGTGAATGGAGAGGAGGGAGACGGAGCGCGCGCGCGGTGGCACAGCAAATAAGCTCGAAGCACCTAAACCAACGCGGGCGGAGGGGAGAGGAGGGGATGGAGGGGGTGGGGGTGGGAGGGAGGGATGTTGCAAAAACGACACGGGCTCGCGTCTGGGCTGTTGATGCTGCTGATGTGTGCAGGGGATGGATATTTTACACAGGAACACACTCCAGCATGGCGATAACATGATGGAGAGCACAGCTAGAGACGCTCATCAGGTGACCCCAGCGCGTTTTTAGGGGAAAAAAGCGCTCGTTCATCTGTGACTGACACGAGCAGTAGTGTCCTTGAATACGATGCGTATTAATTATGCAGTGCGGAGGGTCATGATGTGGTCAGATCATGAGGGAACCACACAATGTGGTGGTGCAGATGGCAGTTGTGGTATGTAACCTATGGATGCTGATGTACACACTTAAAAAAAAGATGGTTCTTTAAGGATTAGTAAAGGCAAGAACCATCAGTTCTCTATATCACCAAAAAAGGTCCATCTACTGTTACAAGACTGGCATCGTAAAAACAGCAGATCCCTTTATGTTGCTAGAGAACCATTTTCAAAAAGGTTCTATATAGAACCATATACAACGCATTCTCCGTCAATCTGAGGAACAATTTCACCATGCAAAGCACCGTTTAGGCATGAAATGGCTCTATATAGAACTCATGAAACATCATTTCTTTTACTAAAGAATCCTTGAGGAACCCTCTTTTTCAAGTGTGTAATGACTAAGAGGATAACCAGTCTATTTAGCACCTCTCATTTTGAGCCCAAAAACTCAAGGTGCTTTACATACAAATGAAATGAATAATAAAATAAAATAAAATAAAATGCAAAGAATAAACACACAGCAAAACACAAAACAATACCACAGTCATAAACAGTAAGAACAACAGAGAAGACAAAAAAATCATTAATGATAACACAAACTCCATAATAAAAGTAAACTCCAAAGTAATATAAAACAAATAATAGAAGAATTGAGGCAAATAGTTTGTTTATTGATTCTGAATAAGCCAGGTGGAAATAGTAAGTCTTCAGTCTATATTTGCAGGTAATTTCCAATTAGAGACAGTGTTTAACATCTAAATATTATGTCTATTGACTGTGGTGTCAGGAAGAGAAGAGAATGACTGAATAAATAAAAATAAGAATTATAAAATGATCCAAATTTTCAATATCAGGATTGTTTTGTTGCCACACAGCAACGATGTTTGGATTTGGTGTAGCTCTGTGTGTGTATAGATCCACCTGAAACAATGTAGTGCAAAACAAGACAAGAGGGGCAGTGCAGGTGGACATTAGAAATATCACACGTCTTACGCAATGCGTCCCATCTCGACTGTGATATTCTGCAATCACAGTGTCTAAACAAGCAAAGACAAAGTTATGGGTTTCATTTCTCTGCTGTAATTAGTGACCTCATACCATTAATGTTGACAAAAGTGGTGGGTTTTAGTAAATGTTGATGTAATGCCTCATAAACAAACTGCTCCCTCTGATCTGGTCATCATTAGTATAAGATTATATAATGCAGTTGTGTTGTGACCTCACATACTGGAAAACAATTTCACAAGTCAGATGTTGAGGTCATGGTATCAAGTGCTTTAACAAGGCTGCTGGGATCTGGATGATAGACACCGAAAGAAGGATGCCAGCGTAATCTGCACTAGAACAGATAAAGCCTCTGGCCTTTAGAGCACAGTGTGCATATGAGTCAGAAGTACCGCCTGTCCAGTAATTCTCCATTCCTGTGCAGAGTGGGAGAAAAATGGCTGTAGGTGTCTTCTTGGAGGATCTTCTTTGCTTTTATGTGTGCAACAGTGTGTGCTGTTGGTGGATGAGAGAAATAATTGTGTATCATGCCTCTACATATAGACTTTCACTTTTCTCTCCTGATGTAAACATGTTTGATGTCATCAAAGTGCTGAAAAGCTGAACTTCATCCAACCAGTCATTAATATTATGCTATTCTGAAACCTCATCAAGTAACCATTAGTACTGGCAGTCTTCATACAAACACAAATCACGTATTTTCATTAAAAGAAGTAATAACATAAACAGCTAAACTGAAAAGATATTTGAATATTAATGATATATTGCAGGCTCTGCAGCTCATTTTGGTGCAACAGCAGTTAAGCCTTTTGAGCATGTTCACTGCTGGCCGGCAACGCCCCCTTCTGGCATGCTGATATAACTGCCAGTGGAGTTTCACTGACTGTGCTACATTATCCAACCATTACACATCTGTCAACACAAACATCTGGGCCTACACTGCACTAAACTAATTCATGATATTGTAAGTGTACATGTGGATTAGCATGTCGCTAAAGCAAAGGCAGGCCTGTGCTATGAGTGTGTTGCGTTCTTGGGTGGACATCTTTCAAGCAGTCAATCAAAACGAGTGAGGGTTGCAAACAACAATAAGAAGAAAAGAACAACACAGACAGTCTGATCACTTTGGAATTTTTAATCCTTAAAAATTATATGGATGTGTTTTATGATCGTCCACTTTTGATTTTTTTTCTCTGCACAGTTGGACCTCTGCACTGGCAGGGAGCTCATGCAGATGGAGTGGTTCAGCGTGTGGCTGGACATCGTCAGGTGTCATTTATGTTTTGAACAGTGCACTTCGCTATTCATGACTAACCTATAATATTAAAGCTTCAAGAAGCAAACAAAAGCCAATAGTAAAAAATGCTTATTCTACTATATATGAACAAATATTGCATAGGATAAAAGCCATGCTGTATAGTATGCATACGTAAAAAGCTGAGTCACAGATAGATAAGGTTTAGAGTTAGAAAATGACATTACTGATCCGTAATTACTTCTGAACACTCAAGTGCATCAGAATGACTAACATTCAGATAACTTAGACATCTCCAGTTACATGATACATACAGAAATAAATTAGTAAATAAATAAAATGTACAACATATGTACAAATGAAACATAGCAGGACATTGAAAAGCCCTTATCTTTTATTGAAGCCTGTAACATAAATAAACGAAAATGACTGAAAAAAAGAAAAATAAAATCATACACCACCTTTACTAAATGGTATGCAGTGACAAGCTAAACTGTACAAAAACTGTCATACCAGAAACATAGTGGTAGATTTGCGTACACTGCAAAGTTTTACTTGAAATATAAATATTATCTACATGAAGTCACTCTGAAATACAAAAACCAAATCCCAGTATCTGTATCAAACAGCAGGTTAATATCTTGCATGCACTACAGGTCTCTATTTGTTGACATGGTAAAGAAAAGTCAGTATGAATAAAAGATAAATAGAAAGCAACACAATCATGCAATAAAATGTTTGTAATATTATACGCCATTAACAATCATGTTTCATTCTCAGCAGACATCCTCTTCACATCACATTCATAAGGCATGCCTTGAGTGGTCGTATGTATTTTGTCTCACCGATACTTCTTTCTTAGTCCTGATATGCTTCCCTAAACAATGAACTCCTTCATGTTACGTTCATATGGTCATGATATGAATGTCTTCATCTGAAAAAACAAACAGAAATGGAAATTGGACAAAACAAATAGAAACACAAAGGGAAGGGGGTAGGATCAGCACTTGTCTCAGTAGCCACTAATTTAAGTACTACCATCAATACTGTTTATCATGTTTATTAATAAGATTCAGAGGTACAGTTTTACTTACTTTAGTAGCAGACAGCTCAGTTTGTATTCCTTTGACGTAGGTTTTTGTCTTTGTGGTTGTTAGTCGAATTCGTTTTCCTGGGAGACAACGTCATAATTACATTCAACAGGTCAAACAAAACCTCAGAGCTATTTTTAGAAGGCAGTGACTGATTGGTAGGTCAAGACTGGCCTTGTCTGAAAGCATTTTGAGAACTCTGAAGGGTATCAATTTTAACAGGCTCACTCAGTGTAAAACAATCACAGTGTTGTATTTCTACAGACAAATGGTATAAACGACAAAATATTTCACAAAAATATGTACAATATATCATATTAAGGTCTGAACAGTAAGTGTAATAAATACACAATAAAGTGGAACTGAGTAGATGTGTTTTTTTAGGTTTAAATTTATGGAAAATACTGCTTTTGCTCATGTGAACTACAAACTCTCTTTTCACTGTGTCATTTGGAGCATTTGAGCTGAATAAAACCAGTTAAACTGTTTGTTACTACAAGTATTTTTAAGGTTGAACTGACCATTTTTGCAGTGTAAGTTTTAGACTGTAATCCTACAAATTACTCCTATAAGTCCCTGCAGCACATCATGCCTGTCTCCCTGAATTACCTGCTGCTACACATTGTTTCTAAATCATAACTCCAATGACACATTGATTCGATACAGCTGACATAGAGGACCATGATTAGTTGGATCAGGTGTGTTAGATTTGTGCTGCATTGCTGGGGTGAGGTACATCTCCAGCAGTAAAGCTCCTGACTGTCTTAACATAACCAGGCCCTTAACGGTAATCAGAAAGGAGACAGATTGGCTGATACTTACATTGGGCCAGCTGGTTCATCATCTTGAGCAGATTGGGAAGTAAAACATTGAGCATGTTAGTTTGGCACCTTTAGCAATCTCAACTCACCTTACATTCAAAGGCAATTACACTATGTTCTGAAGGCACACAACATGGCAGACACATTCTGATGCAGTGCATTCTATCATGCATAACTTCAATCCATGTATCTACAACATGGTTACACAGTGGGCTAGAAGTTAGGAAAACCAAAATGTCATGTTGCTATTAAAAGACAAAACACAAATGCTGGTTTCTGTAGTCATTCAAAAGATGCCATTCAAGGAATGACAGTAATGACAGGGTTGCAGTATCAGTTGCATCATTGATACTGTCATTTTCTCTGGCTCTCTTTCAGAAAATGCACTTTATTGTACTGAAATCAACTGACAATGATAATGAAATTAGAGCTTAGAGTAATTTACAAATTTCATGCTCATGAGAACAGAAATAAAATATCTGGACAATGTAAAGACAAAAAAGACAAATTCTGTATAACATCAGTTTAAACTCAAATTACTAACAAAGAGTGAAGCATTCTATTTCAATCAAAGAAAAAAGGATGAATCCAACATAAATTATTGGATTCAAGCCATGAGAAAGAGAGCATATAATGCAGATCGTCATATGGGTGAATGTAGTGGAAAATGTTTAGACGGACAGCAAATTCAGACTTAAGGATCATGCAGGTTCTCTCACTTACCACCCAGTGTTTAAGGTCATGCAAATCAGGGAGAGAGAGGTGCGTTATAATATCAAATAATGTTAAGATCACCTAATCCAACATCTGAGGAGATTTTAAAGGCTACCACCTTAAGCAACAATTCATTGTTTTATACGAGAAAGGAGATTCTCAGCCACTAGATGGCAGTGTTCAATAGGGCATATATTTACCAAACCCATTACTATTAGCACCCCTGTTTATACTTGTAAAATTTCAGAAAGAGTGATATTAAGTTTATCTACTCCAAAAACAGTATCCAGACACAAGCAAAACTCATTCTAGATTCACATGAACTACAGGTGCTATATGGCCTAGATATGATTTCATAAGAGCTGGTCCTGTATTTATAAAGTTTCTCAGAGTAGGAGTGCTGATTGAGGATCAGAGCCCTCTCTTACTTATTGTGACCTTACTGCCAGGAACAGAACCTTGCCCTACTTCATTGAGACACTTTATTAATACAGGCCCAGTATAGGTGAAAACAAAATACCTTGGGACTAGACCTCAGCAGACATCAATAATTTAATGACCACAAGCTATCCATACACTCTGGAATCATATTTCTCCTGAATATCGGATTATGGCCAGATGACCGAGCTCACATAGGCTGTTCTACTGGACCGTGTGTTTGTGTGTGTGTATGTGTCTTTGTCTTTGTGTGTGTTTGGGCTGGATTTCCTCAGACTGAATTATTAAGTGTGTGAAAATGTCAGTATCAGATAACAGTCAGACTGCTCCAAAGAGCTTGCTCTGAGAGGCTGTAGGGGAAAAACAATGATGTTATAAAGTGACCATCACACGTCTGTGAGATGCATCTCAAGAATGTCACTTGATTAATTAAATGTCAAGGATAAAGCATTCCACTGCAGTACTGTTCAACAGACCACAATTCATTTATTTAATATCCAGTCAAAATGGCCGTTAGATCCAAGTTATTCAATTTTCAGAGCAAACGAAAAAAAAACCAAACATATTTGATAGAAAATTACACAGAAGCCACAATAAATAAATATAAATGTTTCAATATTTATTCTTCCATATTTTTCCATATTTAACTTTACTACACTCCCATTCTTTTCAGGAGACTTTCAGTCTTCCCAATCTGAAAAAGAAGAGACTTTACCCTTTTCTTATGCACATCTGATCTCCTCAGAGCTATTTCCTGAAAAATTAATAACTTGTACTTAATGGCCGTTTTGACTAGAAATTAAATAAATAAAGGGTGGTCTCTACTAGCACTTTTAAAGTACATTTCAGATTCAGTAAAACCTTTATGTTAACCTACCTGTTATTTTTTTTTCTAACCTAAACCCCTATCCACATAAGAGAATCACAAAAATACGGAAAAACTGCCTCATGACTGTAGGCCAGCTTTCAAATAGTAACTCACCGTCAGGCACCTCATCAGGCTTCTTGCGTTTCTCATAGACAACAATGATCAGGACCAAAACAAGGATTTCAGCTAGGACCCCCAACAAGGGCCAGAGGGGGGCCAGGTGGCTCCGGACACGCAGCACTGAGGTCATGGTGGAGTTTCCAACAATGTTGTTGGCATTGCACTCATATTCCCCAGGGTCAGAATTGATGTCCAGATTGATGATGGACAGCTCTGTGTAGTTGTCCTTGTTGCTGATGAAAAAGCGGCCAGAGGAGTTGTCAATTTCCTGCAAGTCGATTTAAATACGGAAAGGGGATTGAAGAATACGAGGGTAAGAGGAGAGCAAGTGTACAGCATTAAGTTTAATTGCTATAATTGAATAGAAGTGAGAATCATGGTCACTGATTCAGGATGAAGCTTTGTGTAATGAAATCAGATGTTCTACAAGCACTCTATGATGTTCTTACCTTCCTCTTAGTTATTCATTTATTTATTTATTTTCACTATTTATTTATCATATTTTTATGTCAAATGTACGTTTGAAATTTGTCAAAACAGGGTCCTTCAATTTTCATAATAAAAGGAAACGCCTGACAGTTTTAGTCGAAAAACATTGTTTGAGTGGACTTTTGATGTGAAATGTGATGGAATAGAGGCACAAAAATTACCTTCTACAGGGTGCAGAACAGCATGAGGTTATTGTCTGAACTATGAATAAGTATTCTAACATATTCACTAATACTACCGCTATTGACCCATTACTTTGACAGCTAGTATTCTGGTTAGACTAGCTTCAGTTAACTGTTTTCACCTGAGAGGGAAGAGGCTGAAGAGTACGTACTCAACTGCAGTGGAAAGCAATGATGTAGACATACACCAATACATTCAAAGGAGTGCAGAGCAGTGTTCCAGGGGAGTAATAAGATGACATGTTTTCTGTTATTTTATCAGGTTTTATCATATGATGTAAATTGCAGCATAGCTGTTAAAGAGTATTGTGTCACTGCAATAACATTGGACAACTTCTTTAGGACAATGTTTCCGAACTCCAACCCTGCCAAACCCCCACCCTGTACTGCGTAGTCTTGTTTTTCCCCTGCTCGGACACACCTGATTCAGCTCAAGAATGGGGTAATAATTAGCTAATGATATCACTCACGGGTGCTGAGAGTCGGAAACACTGCTTCAAGGCACAGTTTTCAGTTCACAGATTTGTTCAGAGAAATCAAACGGCCATGTTAGCTTTAAATTTCTGTAATACCGCAAGGCAAGTAAGTGAAACGTACGAAGGAGGCACCGTTGTCTAATTTGCGCCAGGTCCAGATAGGGTGAGGGTAGCCCACGGACTTGCAGTAAAGGACAGCACGTTCTCCCTCATTCTTATTCTCACTGCGCTTGTGTCCTGTGATGTCTGGAGCAGCTGAAGGAGAAAAGCAAAAGGACATAAAGACATTGTCGACAGCAACACAGCTCTTTTTTCACGAAATCTATTAAGCACCTTTTTTTCTTGCAGAGAATGACACTTTATGTGTCCAAGTGTGAAACAGTGTTACTTATTTTAATATTGCTATCCAGGGTATTTGCATTATGAGCAAACTGCACAGAATAAAGATGATTTGGCTCAAATTATGTGTTATTTTCCTCAGTGTTTTAATTAACCCAACACAATGATTACACATAAAATTATTAACCTCTCAAAGGAAAACATTTGAATGTAAGGCACTTGAAAGATTATAGATATTAAAGATATCTAATAAGACAGCAATCAATTTCCAAAGCTCTTTGCTGCAGAGATAGGAAATGCTGTTTTCTCTCATGAAATAATAGAACAAAGCTTTAAAGGCTTAGGAGGTCTATTAATAACCAGAATCTGAATGTAGATTAGTCTAGCAGCTCAAGACATTCAGCTGAACACAATGAGCCATCAAAAGAGCATGAGACCAGGTTTGTGGGAAACGCATGAAACAGAATATGAAAGAGTAAAATGTTGATGATTTACTGGCATTGTCGGAATTGGGGTCTGCATTTGGTTTGCAACAACGTAAAAAATACAGTACTGCGCCGAACTTAGACCACCCTTCATTTATTTAATTTACAGTCAAACCAGACATCAAGTATAAGTTATTATTTTTTTCAGCACCAGGGTAGAAAAGTAGAAAAGATATTTAACAGATTATTAACAGAATATTCAGAAGCATCAAGCAATAAATACAATATTTTTTTCAGTATTTATTGTGTCCACACTTTGCCTTTATTTCTGCTTCCATTCTTTTTCTGCAGGGGTAATCCAAGACATTTAGTGATGTTGAGGTCTGGACTCTGAGGTGGTCAGTCCATTGTTCTGAGAACACCAGCAGCTTCTTTGTTTGGTATAAAAAAAAAATCCCTTTTTTTGTCTATTTTCGTTTCTCAGTAACAGCTTCTTAACAGCTACACATCCTTTCAGACTTAGTGTTGAGTGGTCTTCTCACAGTGGAAGGATGGACAGAAACACCTGTGGATTTTTCAGATCTGAAGCAAAAGTAGAGCTTGATTTTCTGCATCTCTCAGAGATAAAAGCTTGGTGACAGTGAGAGTTTTGGTGGTCTACCAGGTCTTGCATGGCTGTTAGGGGTTCCATTTTCTCTACATCACATGACCCCCTATTTTTCCCTTACCTTCCTCTTCCTTGTGCAAGTGGATTATGTTATATTTAATCTGCTCAGAAAGATCTTCTGAAAAATGAATAACTTGTACTTAATGGCCATTTTGACTGGAAAATGAATAAATGAAGGGTGATTTGTGACTTTTGCACAGTATTGTGTCCAACAGTTGTATTTTGCTTACATAAGAAGACACCAACTGTTTACATAAGAACCAAAATGAAATAAAACATTTTAAAGAGAAGACATTTTAGGTACAATAAGCACCATTTTACCACCATGGTATACTGCATAGTGGTATACTACAAAAAAATTTGTAATGCCATCCATATGAGGGAGGGATAGAAAGAAAGAGGGTGGGGGTGTAGGAAGTGTAATCCTCAACCCCTCAGACAGGCCACCATCTGGTACTGCAGATCACAGTGTGAAGAGTGGGGAAAGAGAGCCAGGTGAGCAGGTTCTGCTAGAACTCCACACACCTTTATTTGCGGCCTCTCCATTTCTATCTTACTGCTCACACTTTTCATATCTCACCTCTCACACTTCTCATAAGGTCTCTCTTTTAAGAACATGTGCTCTGTTGCATGACAGTAGCTGATGCGAAAGAGGATTTTCACATTTTATACTATTTCATTCTTCTTATCTGCACATTTTACTAAGGCATCATATTCACGAAAGGCTTAAATTTACTCTGCCAATGGCAAAGGATCCAGTAAATGTGGCCTTCCAGCCAAACGGAGCATGCTGTCACACTGATACTGAGCGTCATGTCGTCATGCCCTTTCTCAGATTCCAAGCTTCGCATCTCTGACTCAGCAAGTGCTGCAGAGCAAAATGCAGCCTAGCACCTCAAACACAGCTACACACTGACTCTAATCATTAGTCTTGCAGCATCTGAAGCACAGACAGAGAGAGACAGAGAGAGTACTAAAAGTAGTAAAGGCGCCTGCACAGACATTTTGGCCTCCATCTTATTGCAGAGTTTCATGCCTCTGGAGGAGTATAACTGTGTGATATAAAATCTGTACCAGCACATCACTGTAGTGACACACTGAGACACTGCATAGATAAAAAAAGATTACATCCATGATGAAACTCTATTCCATGAAATACTGGCCACTTTGGGTGCTTCACTCATAGTATCCAACGAGTAATGTATGTCATTTACTATGTCATTCAGATTGTTTTGAATCTTACAATAAAATAAAATAAATAAACAGTGATACTTGCCGTCTGTGTAAAATGTAGTTATCGTTATAAATTATTGAGTAATATTAGAAGCTAGCCCAAATGGTAAATATAAGGGAATTATATTACCATCAGTGAAAACGCAAGCTATAGTGTAAGGTTGTGTTAAGCTCACATGTAGTACTTTGTAACTAAATTTGGATTATCATGATATCGTTTATCAAGATAATTCTTTAATTTAATAATTGTTTACCTAACCTTACATTACTGTCCAGGTTTATCATCCAAGTGGAGTTGTCTGAATGTCTAAATTAAATAGTAATAAAAAAACCTGAGATAGTAACCACTGCATTCAGTATAATTTACTTGAAAAGAATCACCTAAAACTGACTGCTACTCCTAATCCTAGCCATAGATTAGGCGCCAGTTTGAGCTCACCAAATGTAGCCCACCCAGTGTCTGTCAGGAAACGACAAATGTTGCTCATTTACATACGATGACACAGAATGGCCCACCGAAAAATAAACCTTTGCAAATGTGTGAAGGACTGGGAAAGATTTACGTCATTACTAGCGGTGTCAAAGCTAAGGCATTATTAACCCATTAATACAAATTATTAATGCCACTATTTTTTTTTTAAACATCGTTAACACATTTTCCTATTTGATCCTTGGAACCACCTGTAGTTCCAGTCTAAACAGCCTAAGTCCATCAGCTCGCAAACTGTAACTTGGTATTGACCTCATGGCTGTGGTCGTCTTGTTCAAAAACAGCTTTTAAATGCAGAGTTTTATTGATGGCTCTCTTGATTAAAAAGTTATTTCCAGCTACTACCATGGTGAATCTGTTTAGCACCAAAGTATGTGACGTCCGAAGTATCATTTAAATGCTGATGCTGCAATGTTAACAATATTTCACTGTAATGTTTGCACTTTGTCAGAATATTACTGAATTATTGAAAGTAAAAACATTCTCATGAAGCTATAATAAAACGTGCTTGTTTTTAAAAAAACTCTTTAGAGTCAAATTTGGGCAAACAAGACAAATCTGCTTAATCCCAATTAACTACACAAAATAATATGATTAATCATCTGTAATTATTTTATGATATGATTGTTTGACAGGCCTAATTGTTACACACCTGAAAGAATAAACAACATGAGCCTTAGATCTTTTAAGATTTTTTTAAGATCTTTTAAGAGATAAATAAAGAGATAACCTTACATTTCACCTCAATGGTGGCATTAGCTGGAGGTGCCATGTCAAATGTATAGACGCACATGTACTCCCCTGCATCCTCTGCCCTTGGCTTCATGATCCTGTGGGGGGGGGCAGAAAAAAAGGATGCTAACATTTGTCCTTCACTGTCATCTGCAGTTGAGACATGGAGAGGGGTGTGTGATGTTGCTTAGCAACCCCTTGCCATAAAATCTTTAGTGCAGCTTAATAATTCCACTTGTATACCATTGATTACCAATCAGACAGGTGCATATAGGCTTTAATATTATTAATATTAATGAAAGTTGATTGCGCCTTGGCTCCTGATATGCTTCCTGCAAGTCCAGGGGCGCATGTGCCAAATGCTGTGCTGTTTCTTCTTTAGCATGGAGAGAGAAGCATTTGAACTGCTTTAAGATATTAATTTAAAACACATTCACATGTAACTGAATTGCTGAAACTGGGGTTAGCCCAGTTAAGAATCATTCTTAAATAGTCAGGAAAACTATGCTTAACTTTCCTTTTAACTAGATGAATTAGATGATTCGTTCACTCCCTTGGGAAGGGTTTAGGTGGGTAGAGATAATGTATCTTTGCTTATAACTTCACATTACAGATCATTTCTCCACTGGACTATGCCACATGGACCTTCCTAAGCAATGACCTGTATGAAAACATGAGAACCAGTCAGCTGTGTCTGGTCATCTGGGATTGAAAGCTAACATGACTCCTATAATTTTTAAATGGAAAAAGCCCCCCTTAGACATCCATGCCATATGAGAGTTATTAGTGTTTAGGTACTGTTTAACTACACGGCAGCACTACTGCACTTGTTATTTTACATAATCTTAAACAGGCTCAGTGTGATGCAGGAGGCTCTTTTTTGTCTTCTGTTATTTTTGTCAGCTGCCTGAAGCCTTTTCATCCTCCAGTGCAAACTCCCCTTAATGCTTTATTTAGTCCTCCAGACTGTTTCCTAAATAGAAACAAAGACCTGCTATCAGTGCCATGTGCTTTGATTATTTTGTCATGTACGTGTACTAAAGTAAATCTAAATCCTGCTGCGAATGGTGACACCAGAATTCTAGAGAAATAAACAACCAGAGCCTTCTTTAATGAAGGCGGACACAGAGACACTATGAGGTGAATCACTGCTCAGTGGGTTTAATCGTTGGCTTAGCCCACACTAATGTGTTTCCAGTCCTAGCGTCATGATCTGTGAGGCAGAGATCACTAGGACAGGTTAAATGTAAGCAGAACGTGTGCCTGTGTGTATCTGGTCAGTCTGATTCAATTAGGAGTCAGGTCGCAGGATTAACAACATGGGGAGGGACTAAAGGAGGCCATGGATTCGACTCACGCAGATGAGCAGCAATAGATTCTCATGCTGCTTGTGTCAAGTTTAATATTGAAGAAACAGTGTGCCAAATCAAGTCCTGGAGCAATAATGGTCATTATACACTACGTTTTAAATCTTCTGAAAAGTTCTTTTGGAACCCGAAGAGCCTATTATAAAACAGAGTGGCCATATCTTTATTTTGCAAGGTCTAAGAATTGAGTTCATACTGACTAAATTTTGTGCAACAAACTGATTCATGCAGGAATTCATACTGTCAACAGGACAATTACAGTTGCACAAAGCAAACATACTACAGAGATGAAATGTGCTGTCAGAATTTAAAATAAATCTCAATACCTAAACACAAGCACACATGGCCCTTACTTGTACTCAGTAGTCCTCAGGTCAGTCCGCGTGGCCAAGATCTCCTCTCCATTCTTTGTCCAGTAGCTCTCACGGTGGTTGTACTGGGCGGTAGTCAGGTTACACTGCAGCGTGACTTGTGGGAGATAGGTATCCGTGGGTAGGGTGATGTGGTCTGATGCATTGATTGATGGCTCTGAAAACACAGACACTTGATCAATACGAGGCAGGAGACTACGCTACATGGCCTCAACTGCTGAAAACGGAAGTATGTAGCACAAAACTGTCAAGTCAGTGAAGTTCTGCTGTATAAAATGGTTTTATTACAACTATAATGTATAAATGTACTTACTGCAGACATACATGTACTTCCTGCAACAATTATTTACAAGAATGTATGTGTATATTAAATTATTGGCACCAATGCTAAAATTAGGCCGTATATACAGCATATGGAGCATATACAGCACACTGTACTGTACCATATCAAATCATTGTATAGTGACTAGGACGTTCACTTTCAGAAGGATTAGATGTAAAGGTGTACTGGAAGGGACAACTTTTGTTTTAAGTATGGTAGTTTTATAATGTTGAATGTTCTAATAAACTCAAAATGTAAACTTTAACATATTAACATATGGTAAATTTCCAGCCACTCCTTATTTAATCAAAAAATTGATCAAAACAAAACACCACTCTATCATATTGGATTGAATAATGAATTTTGTGAATTATTACGCTCCTAGTAAAAAGTTGTTTGTTATTTATCAGCTTAATCTTGCACAGAAAATTCGAAAGATCTGATGATCTATGATTACTACTGATTTACAGAAATGCAAATGTGTTCTTTTATGTCAGCTGTTCTTCTTCTCAAAAACTCAAAAAATCCAAAATTGTCACACATGCATATATAGTATTTTCGATTTAATTACATGACAAATACAGTTATAGTTATTTACACCCCTATATTTAGCACTTTGTGCTATATTTAGTACTTTGTCACTTTCCCAAGATAACAGCATTGAGTCTCCTCCTCTGGGTGAGGTAAGACAACACATATACAGGGATCCGAGACCTTTCCTCCTCAATAAATAATCTCTTCAGATCCTCCACAATCTTTGGTTGTCTGGAATCTCTTCTTCAGCTCAGCCCACAGCTTTTCTTTGAGGTTTTGGTCAATAGATTGGGAAGGCCATAAGAAAAAGCTTGATTCTGTGGTCAGTAAACCCATTTTTGCCTGATTCTGGAGGCATTCTTTTGATCATTGTCGTGCTGGAGAATCTAATGAACACCAACCTCTCATCTTGAGGCAGGGACAGCTAGATATGTAAAATCACCTGATATTTAAGTCCATGATGCCATTTATACTAACAAGATTAATATGGCCTTAGGAATTAAAACAGCTTTACACCATCTCAGGTTCACCACCACACCTTCTAGTGTTTGTGGCCAAAAAGCCATAAGTTTGGCTTAAATGACTATGAAATCTGGCTGCAACATTACAGTGACTGTAGATTGTAAACTGCAGACACTTATGTTTGTTGGCATAAACGTGGTGTCTAATTTGAAGACTTGGTGACCCCAGCATGCACCCCAGCTGTGCCTCTCTAATCATGCTTCTGACTGTGCATGAACACATTTGGCATAATATATTTGGGATCTCCCTTCAAGTAACTTCATAAGTTGGGCATTTTTAGGTGTTAGGCAATTTTTATAGTCATTGCTTCATTTATTTAAATCAATAACCACTGGTATTACTTCATTTATGTATTCTCTGATCTTTTCCATGTTGATGGATGATGTGGGCGTAAGGTGTATCACAATATATGCATTCCCTGGTGAAAAATAACAGAGCTCCTAAAGACTGAGCTGTGCCATTAATTATGGCATATGTTTTTGAACTATTTTTAAGCCTGTGTCATTGTTCTTTCATTTCCAGTGCAAAATCAAGCAGTTAAACAACAAAGATTTTGTTTTTTGCAAATTTTTACCAAGGACGTCAATAATTCTAGTGTGTATGTGTGTGTGCGTGTCCGTGTGTCTATACAGGTGACCTTTAAAAGAAGGCCGCAAACCTCAAAGCTATCTAAGACCTCAATGTCAATGTGTTTATGTTTCACAATGTCTGGCTTATCTCATTGAATTCAGTCACTGCTAGCAGGTTATGAAAGACTAACAGCACTGTGGTGGTCTTAAAAACACACCAAAATCGATACAACTATAATGGGCTCTGAAGGTTTTCAGGGCGAGTAAGGATGCATTTCTGATGCCATTTTCATTTCAGAACAAATGTCTGTGCACAGCTGAACACACTGAATGAAGCTAGGCTAAAAGCATGACTGAATGATGATGGGAACTCCTTCTAAAGCTTTCCATTATTATAAGAAAGGCGAACTTAGTATCCACTGGGCAACAGCACATTCCCTACTGTGAACAAAACTGAAATGCAGCTGAGCTTGCATATTTTCATTAATTCTCTAAAAAATTATGTAAAAAGTCACTCAAACCTGTGTCTCTTCAACGCGACAATAATGTGAAAATTATATTTTTTTTGGGAAAAAAGTTAAAAATAAAAAAATTACTGCTTTTTATCTATTTTGTCCAACAACTATATAATTATATATCGTCATTGTCTGAAGAAAACCTTCTCTCCCCCAAAAAAGTTTTTAAATAGTGTGATGTAATAAAAAATTACAAGGTTTTGGACACACAGCAACAATATATAACTTCTTAAGTAACTTCTTTCTTACAAAGTTGATCACTTGATACAAATGTTCCAAAGCTAACAGTTATACAGCCTTGTACTGTACCTTAAAATTTAGGAAAAAAGAGAACTCTTTAAAAGGAATAAACACAGGACTGGGAACTATCTGAGATGCTGAGGCTTGCTATTTCAATACGGCTTGCTAGTGAGCTTTTTCACTACAGCAGAACACAAACTAGGCAGGATTTTGCTACATATTCTCAATAAGCTCAAAATCTAGCAGGAAAGGTCACAGATACGATTCTTGGTTTTGAATGTTTCTGTCTCAAGTGGTGTGGGATGCAAGAGGTCTGCTATTCAGCTTGTCTAGGGATATTATCCAGACATTTACTCCATTGAAAGGAGGACACAAGGGCAGGACAGGTGTCTTGGTCTTGGTCAATAACACCAACCGGGCAGTACACTATACTACACAAGGATTCTCAAGCTGGGGGTGCATGGCTTGTGTTACCACTGGAAACACTATACTTAATGGACTCACTCTGCAACACAGTAACAGTTGCCTGGGCTCGTATCCAGGTAGTTGATGGATTCTGGTGAAGATCATTGCGATGTGGGTCGTTACTGGCTCTGCACTCATAAATCCCAGAATCCTCTGTGATGACATGCATGACTGCAAGAACGCTAACAGCATTGGTTCCGTATGCGGTGCTGATGGAGACGCGGCGCTCACGTGCACCATCCCAGAGCTGAAGGAAGCCATCAACCTTGTTTATTTCTGCATACCACCACTGGACCTCAGGGGTGGGGCTTCCAACAACGTCACAGTACAGCTCAAACGTGTCACCGGACAGTTTAGTCTCAGACAGAGGAGACTTCACAAAGCCCGCTGAAGAAGGGCAGGGTAGCATGCAAGAGAAGACGAAAGAATATGCAAGGAAAGGATATAAAAGACAACATAAAGAAATGGAAAAGGGAGGGGAAAAGGCAGTGGTTTCAAAAGAAAAGAAAGAAAAAAATACCGTTTAAAAACTAAAATAAGACAATAAATAAGACAGAGCACAACAGAAAAATGGAAAGACAGTTTTGAAAAAGAAATCAGCCCTTAAAATTCACAAATGAATTCCACAAATGAAGCACAATGACCTTGAACAGTGCTTCTGTATCCACAATGCTTTGATGTTGCATATTTCATTGAGATTTCTCACTATTCTTGTGTGGGTGTGCTCTGAAAGACAAACTCCGTTTCCATAGAAGCATGCTACAGCAACTGAGCAGGTAGGTACCCATGTCATTGGGGGAGGGATGAGAGCCACACAGTCTCCACACACATCTGCCTCCCCCACATTAACTAAATTCAATATACCATACTGAGACTGAGTACTGTTACTGCAGCAAGCATAAATGAGCATTTAACCACCACGGTACAAAAGACAAAGAAGTTCTTAATTCTTATTTTCCATCCGAGAACCAAGTAGCCTTTATTAATGTATTAGTAAAGAGAAACCAGGAAGTTGTCCTTTGGCACGCACTGAGGGACTGTTGTTAACGTTGAATATCCTCAGAGGACATGTATACTGTGGCTTCGAAGAAAACGAAGGCAACAGCTCACCTAAAGTGCTAGATGCATGACAATTTTTTTCCCAATAGAAGTTCCAATAGAAGTTGCAATCCCATTACAGTAGCATTACATTGCAATCCCATTACAGTAAACTGCACTGCAAACCACAACAATTACTTTTCAAAACCAGTGTTGTTCTGTACTGCAGATCCAACGTGCAAAAGCACCCAGGATCAAGAGCCTGTAATTACTACACTACACAGAGATGTTTTTGAATCTGAAGGCACATTTAAAGAAGAACACACAGAATCAATCGTTTAATGAGAGTGTACGTCTTTGATCATAAGGCGTCATTACTTTTAACACTATAAGCCAATCAAAGAACAACACTGTCACACTTCGGTCACTTCTGACATTGTTTAGCTGTTGAATAGAAATCATTTGGCAAGGCATAAACATGGTTTTTCTACCATGTGTAGATACAGTAGTTTATGACAAGTCAAAGCAAAGATGCCTTTAAGAACAAACTAAAATCAGAGGCTTTGTCATAGGCTGACATGTACATCATTGCCAAATTATTGGAATAATTGGAATATTATCAGACAGCTTACTAAGGACAGTCAACACAAAGTATAGGCAGATTTTTTCTTTGCTTTTGTACAATTAGTGACAAAGCTGTAAGCTGTGTTTTTAAATGACCTGCTTTATAAACCTGTCCAGTAATGCGTAATATCTGTTTTCTTAAACACTGAAGGGAAATACAGAACCAAATGAATAATTGCACTTCTAATACTAGGGGTGAGGGGAAAAAAAAATCAAGACAGTGTGACATCTGGATATTTGTAGTTTAAAATAGCATCGATACACAAAGGCCTGGGATTCATTACTAACGTTTTCAACATGCATTAAGCCCACTGTTAAACAAAAAGATTACCAAGATGATCATTTGCAGTCCAAAACACTATATAATTAAATCTCAATGTGTCATGAAGCAATCAGCATTTTACAAGTAAATACCATGACAGCACTGTACCCTGACAACATCATGATGTCATGAGGCCAGTAGCAATTCCTACCCTTTTAAAATGTACCAGAGGGCATAAGAAATCCAACACTATATCTGACCTCTACACCTATATTAATTAAGAAGGTAATTAACAAAACCATCTCTGGGAAATGACTTAAAAGCATATTTGTTCAGTCTATTAAAAACCTGTTTGAAATTTACGAACATAATGTTCTAATTCAGTTCTGAAGTCGTGCTACGCTCTTAAAAATCAAAGGTGCCAAAAAGGGTTCTTTGGAGTAATGAACCAGAACAACCACTTCCTTAGAGACTCTTTCAGTTTAGGTTTCTTTAATCCTTTTATACATGAGATGTGCAAGTGTGAGGAAACTTTTTAAACCTCCACATAATGTAAAGGCACATCCAAGCTAAGAAGCATTCAGGTGCCTTTGTTAATAAAGGGTGTAGGCACATATGAAGAGCTAGTGGACTCAGCTAATGTATATGTGGGCAGGATTTGCATGTTGTAGTAGGCCTAATGCATACACGCCTTAGGAGAAACAGAATGCAGAAACTCTGTTGCCTTCAAGGCAGCAATGAGCCTCGCTCAGAGGCTGAAATGGGTCAGTAGATTTGTGCACACTTGTGTGCGAGAGGATGGAAGAAAGAGTTGCAAGAGATGGTGTCTGGAAAAATCTATTCAAATGCTGCAACCTGATCTCACAGACAAAACTGTAGGATGACTCCATTAGGGTTTTCTTCCTCCTCGAATTTGGTCAACGAAAGCGCTATGTATACTAAGCCACCTTCTTGGCCTAACTTTAACCACTCATGTCAAATGTGCTGCACAGCCTGACTGATGCAGGCTACTGCAGAGCATTCACGGCCATATTCTTGGGGGGGGCCAGTGGAAGTTGCTTTTGCTGATCTGAGATCAGCCTACCAGCATTCTTTCCATGATCAAGGCTAGAACTGGAGTAGGTGGAGCTGCTCCCAGATCTGTGAAATGGGGCGACTCGAGCACATTCCTCAGGTCCACCAAGAAGCCTCGGCTAGGTTCATTTGCTCGGTGAGAACGCGTTCTGTGCCTCAATGTCCTGGTAGACACGGCTGCTCCACTATGAGGACTTGAGCAGGACCACCAGAAGGACATTACCGCCATGCATCCCACTGCTGCATTGCCTCTATAAATAGAAACATGCAGCAGAATGAAGTGGGGCTATTTTCGGTGCTGCAGAGGACAGGAAAACACGCGGTTATCTCGGTCTACCATCATTTTCTCAACGTTTAGTGCAGGGCTTAGTGCATTAACATCAGCCAAAGGCGATAATGTGGGCTTCATCTGAGGCGTAAGACAGCCAAACAGGCATACTGAGGGATATACAGCCTAACCTGTTTGTGGCAGGTAGCTACATGTCGTAAAAAGCTCGTTTAAATCTTAATTTACCGTTAGTTTGAATTAATGATGTGACAGTTGGTCGGTAGGTGAGTATAACCGCTGTACTGAGCAAGAAAAAACAAGAATGTTAATTACGGTAGCTAAACCCCCTCCTTTAGCCACCTTCTCTCGTCTTTACTCGGCGCCGTTAGCAGGTGTTACACCTCAGAGGAAAGCCGTTTGAGTTTAAACCTGTTTAAACTGAGCTCAAACCACCGCAGGCTCCACACACAGGGAGCCGAATGAACGAATGTGATAAGCCCGGCAACGGCAGCAGCAGCGGGCTGATTTCACACCTTACCGTTCTGTGCAGACACCGAGTGCAGCACCAGCACTCCCAGCAGCACCAGCAGCAGCACTGGATTTCCTGGACTCGACATTTTCTCCCCTTCTCTCTCTCTGTCGGCAGGTAACGCTGAGCCGCCTCTCTCTCTCTCCTCCTCCTCCTCTCTCTCTCTCTCTCCTTCTCTCTCTTTCTGAGGGAGAAGGCGGGCGCCGGGCGGGTTCCTCTGCTCTTCTGAGCTAAAGCACTAAAGTACTAAACGCCTCGTCTGGCTGGTGCTGCAGCGGGTCTCGAGGAGAAGCTGAGCGACAGCGCGCGCTGAGCGGGATCAGCTGACCACCGGTACATATACACACACACAGACAGAGTCGGTGTGGAAGCGATAGGGGCAGTGGAGGAGGCGATGGAAGTGAAGTGATCTTCACTAAATCCCGCGATACTTTCTTGTTCTGGACTGGATGCGTCCTTCGAGCTCTGCCAGGGAAATAAATTAGTAATGTTTAAAAGCCACAACTTACCCGTTCTAACCCTCATACTAAACACGTTCAGGGAAATGAAATTAAATCTCTCTCTCACATACACACACACACACACACACACACGCACACACACACACGCACACATACATACATAATGTATTTGTGTGTGTGTGTGTGTGTGAGTGAGTGAGTGAGTGAGTGAGTGTGAGTGTACTTATACGTGTGTATACTCCTGTGGGAAAAATAGCAAAACATTAAGTTTTTAATATTCTTAACAACAAATCATTAAACAAAGAGACAAGGTAACGTAATATGGAATATTTTTCCTTTTGATTTCTTTAAATGTTGAAGTCTTGTGAATAAACCTGCAGACAGATTTTTACACTCAGCACATACAAACGTATTGGGACACACCTCCTAATTACTGAGTTCAGAGTTTTCAGCCACATCCATTGCTACTCAGTTAGCAACTTTGTCTGACTCACTTGTGGGCCAGATCCTTGGTTTGTTCTGGGCCGGTATACAGCTGGTTCCTCAGCCCAGATCTGGCCCACACGCTGTAAAAGGAGTAGCACTAAAGGATATGGCTCAAATCTGGTCCCAATCTACCCCAACTACATTGTTGGTTCGCAAAATTCATGCCAGAATTGTCCCACAAATGTAGACACGAGGCAAAACAGTATGAAGCTATCCAGGATCTGGCCCTATTCTGGCCCATATACCTAACATTTACCCAGTAGTCAACCAACACTCACATAGAAAAGTCATAATCGGCCCAAAACTGTCTGCTATCTGGGTGACAGGTGAATAAAATTAAGCACATAGCCTTGCAGTCTCGATAGACAAACACTGGCAGTAGAATTGGTCATACTGATGAGCTCAGTAACTTTAAATATGGCACTGTCATAGGATGCCACCTTTGCCACACGTCAGTTTGTGAAATTTCTGTCCTGCTAGATCTGCCCCTGTCAACGGTAAATGCTTTTATTGTGAAATTGAAACATCTAGGAACAACAACAGCTCAGCTACAAAGTAGCAGACTATGCAAACTCACAGAGCGGGGCTGTCGAGTGCTGAAGTGCACAGTGCATATCCTCTGTTAATTCACTCACTAAAGAGTTCCAGATTTCCTCTGGAAGCAAAGAACTATACATTATATCCTATACTGCCCCTCTCCCCCTTGTCTAAGAGTTGCGACCACACTGCTTACCACTCCCAGACTGCATTCAAGCAAGGAGAGCTCAAGGACTTCTTTCTTAAAAGTTTATGCTGCCACCTGTTGAACAGTGAGCAGAACCTGCAGATGGACAAAATGTGCAATGAACAGGGACACAATTAAGCAGTTATGATTGTTGCAAATAACCTAAATTTATTCGGATCCATATCAGCATTTTAAATCACGCTGTAAACCGGATTGAAATTGTGGTGGATTTTTTTCTTCTAGAGTTTTCGGGGTAATGGCATGTTAGGCTGCAATGATGCATACAGTAAATGGGTCTGGTCTGTCTAGTACTTAGTTTGCTTTCTTCATAACAGATTGTGTGCAGAGATCACCCAAATGCGGATCCTGACTGCCAGTAATTTGGATGGACATTTAGAGCCAGCCTTCATATGGAGGAAAAGCCAACACACCTACATTTAATATCCCAGCAAAAAAGCACAAGTCTTTAAGTAGTCCACAATATAACGCCTTAGTAAGTTTTATGTTTTTTCCTGTCTCCTTTGTGACTTTCAGATTTTTTTCAGTATGTCGGCACATGATGACCAGTCCTAAAAAGGGGTCAAGCATTTGCATGTTCATGAGTTAGACGTACAGAGTAAAAAGCCAGAATTAAAAAACATTCACCCGTGGCTGTGATAAAAAAAGCACGTAAAAGTTACAACGGTGTTACTCTTCTCTTCATCTTTTGCTAATTGAAATAGCATGAAATAATTTACATATAAAAAGGCTGTTTATTGATATCCAGTAGTCTACTAAGCGGAGTCATAGACACTGTCACTAGTGATACACCTTCAGTTAGTAGCACTTAAAAGTATAGTATAGATACTATACTATAGATAGTATACTTAAAAGTATAGAAAATACCAGATTCTTTACTCTTAGGTCACTTAATGTCCTTACACTTAATAATATCATAGTATGATAATGAGGGGAAATAAAACAGGTCCATTTGTTTCTATGCTGTTCTCTTATGAAGCAGCAAACTTTGTTTTTTCAGCTGCGCTGCAGCACTTGTGCCAAGAATCTAGCTCTGTACACTGGGGAATTTCATCTTCCCCAGAGCCATTTTCTCCCATCCAGACGGCACACGAACCACACTTGGTTTTTTACCATAGAGGGGCTTGTAAAGAGAGTGGAAACCTCACCGTCTTTCTTCAGAACTGCTACACTCTGAAAAATAAAGGCACTAATTGGAACCATTTTTTTTAATAACCACTTTTGGTTCCCTGAAGAACATTTAATGGGTAGCTGTTCAGTTTTTGGTTCCACAGAGAACTCTTGGTGGTTCTTTACAAAACTATTTCAAAAGGGTTCTTTGAAGAAGCTGTCCTTAAAAGCTGATCCTTAAAAGATTTCCCAGTTTCAGATGGCTCTTCAATAAGTTAAAACCCAAATGTAAAGGACGAAACACAGGAATAAACAAAGCCCAAATTCCAACAATGTATTTTACTTTAAAACTCATAGGCATAAAAAGAAATCAAGTTCAAATGTTAGCTACCTAGCTACTGTAGTAGTTACCATCACAATGTTATTAGCTGGCTTGGCAGCTAACTAGCCAGGTAACAGTAATATTTCTAGCATTGATTTGTAATTTAGTTAGAGCTGGTTAGCTCCAGATATTTACTTTTCTAAGACAATTAAGAATCTGCATGGTGCTAGCAATTTATAATAGGTCATGATGATCATGTTTGTAAAGATGAATGACAGTCTATAAAACTTTATGGGGTTTTTATCACACAAGCTTCACTAACAGTCTTTGTAAGCAGGAATGATACAATCAGTGCAACTTGTGCACATCAGGTGAAGTATGAAGATAACAGGATGAATGAAACTACAGTGGGCCGAAGGACGATCTCAGTGTATTTCAGATAAGAATTACTGAAAGAGGAAGAGAGAGATTTTAGACCTGTACACGCAAGCCATGAACAATTTAAGCAGCTTTATTTTGTGTGGGACAGTGATAGAGTTTCATGAATTCTAAAAAAAGGGATTAGGTGTACAATAGGCCTGAACAAACTTGTAAGCGAAAGGTGGGGTACTTATCTGTGCAACACAAAATCCTGAACACGGTGTCCTTTAAAAAGTTGGCATGAATGAGTGCGTTCAAGTATTGGGAAAGAAATTCAATATGCATTATATATTTATTAGTTCTACCCACTGTTTCCTCTAAGAAAAAAAGTAGTGCCACATTAAACTTCATGTACACTCTCAGAAAAAAAGGTATGAAACTGTCACTGGGGTGGTACCCTCAAGGGTACATCTCAGTACCTTTAGTCAGGGAACATAACAGTACCATAATCCATTGAAATGACATTTTTTTTAAGTTGTATTGACTCCACACACCCCGTCTCGTCTCTAGGCTTTTTATTTTATTGCTCTGTTTTACAACATTAGGTTATGAAAATATATAAATACATACTTTTCAACTGGTAAAAATGATTTAAGGTCCACATTTGGACCTTAACCCCACTGTTGTACCTTTGAGAGTGTATTTACATTGCCTGTATCTTAATGAACGAGAAATGTACCTGCACAGTACCTTTATTTCTACCAGTGTATTTACACACTTTATAGCATATTTACAGTCTTATGAGTGAGAAAACTATCCAAGTATCATTCTAAGTCAGTACTACTTATTTCAAAGCTTGTGTCTTGCTGTGTAATGTTGGCTGGATGTCAAACATGGCTCAAACATTTGTGGTTTTCAATGACTTTATTAGTAATCAACATCTAATTCCCCACTCCAGCCTCAGAAAAACAGGAAAGAGACATCTCAATGTGTAATTGCATGCACCACAGTCACCACTTTATGCTGTTCTCAATGCATTTTCAATGAATGACAGAGTGAAGACCGTTAAAGCTGAGGTAGCCCACTCCTCTCACTATGATTCAAAGAGAATCAAGGTGTACAATTCCTATTGTCTTTTATATTATCCAGCACAGCAGGTTCAGAGCTGAACGTTTGTCCAGATGAGAGAATCGTACCAAGAACATCACCTATGGTGAGATGACCTGTCTTCCGGGCTTGAATGAGCAATAGTTATAAGCTCTTTAATGAAGTTATAGGTAAACGTCTTATCATTTTGCTTAACTACAAAGAGGAATAAGCAGCAGAAACAAATCTCAAAATGTTCTGACCACTGATTCCTTGGACAGCATAAGCAGCCTGTACCATGCTATTCACAAAAACATTCAGCCTTTGGACTAGAGGATTGTATTTTCTTGAGCAATGTCTCAGTGTCTTCACTGAAGCTTGATCCCCACCTAATACAAAATACATGCATGTCTGATGTATAAATAATAATCATACCCCACTTTGTAGAATCTATAGCACCATCAAACTATTCACTATGTAGGTGATTGACACAGTTCTAGCCAAGATACAGTTATTATAGATACTAATACACTGTATGTCCAAAAGTGTGTAGACACATGCTCCTCCTGCATTTCTTCTGAAGTCAAGAATGTTAATATTGAGTTTGTCCCCTCTTTACTGCAGTAACAGTCTCTACTCTTCTGAAGGCTTTACACTAGATGTTGGAACATTGCTGTGAGGATTTGATTGCTTTCAGCCAAAAGAGCATTAGTGAGATCAGCTACTGATGTTGGATGATTTGTTCAGGATCACCATGCCACTCCAACTCATCCCAAAGGTTTTCGATGGTGCTCCATCTCCCCAGGGAATGCACAACCATAGAGATTAAACAAGCTGTACGTGCACTGTACCTGCTGGACCTGCCTGTGTCAGCAATTAGTGCACCTTAAAGTAGCTAAATTCACTAAACAGAAGGGGTGTCTGGATACTTTTGGACATACAGTTCACATGTGTAGTTTACCACAGTATTGCACTTTCTGTTCTCTATTTTAAGCATTTAAAGAAAAACATGAATGTACGATGCATGAATGTACGATTACTTGCTCATTCAGCTCAATGAGGTACAATAATGTGAAAAGTTACATGATACACTGCAAAAACTGTATCTTAACAAGAGAATTAATGTGTAAATATACAATATTCCACATTTTGATGTGGTTGTATGAATATAATAAGATTATTCAACTTATTTCTAGATGTTTTTTACTCATTTAAAGTAATTTTGCTGAGTAAAATTATCTCACTATATCGGCAGATAATTTTGCTTGTTTCAAGCAAATTTCTTGAAACAAGCAAAATTATCTGCCAATATAGGGAGATAATTTTACTTTATAAACACACAGAAATGTCTAGAAATAAGTTAAATAATATTATTATAAGCTTACAGCAATTTCATCATGAAGAATATTAAATATATCCACATACATTTAAGATCACTTCACTTGCCTAGATATCATTTTTTTCAGTGTAGGCTAATAAGGACTTATTAGGCTAATTTCACACCTAAAATTAAGAAAATGGAAAAGAAAACTTTTGTATACTTCGGAAATGGCTAAGATAACTGAATAATGTGTATACAGGATCATTGTTTCAAAAATAAAAGATCTTGTTTACAAAAGAAAAGCAGAAAATCAAATATTACTCCCGTTTGATTTTCTTTTGAAACATTAATCTACAACAGAGAAACCTCAACAAGAAAAAAGTTAGCAAAAAAATAATGAACACGGCTCCCAGCAGTGTGAATATAACATCCACAGAGTGGTAGGCCATCCAGGACATCCTGAAGGACTGTGTGCGCAAGTGAGGAGCGCCTCCATGCCTCATAACATACTCAATCCAGAAGACTGCTTGATCCAGAGGTTTCATGGGCTGGTCTCGATGCAACCTAGACAGTCTCTGCATGTTCTCTCTGTAAGATGGATTATACAGCACCTCCTTCAGTGCCTGCAAAAACACAGTTCTGTCTAACTTGGAAAAATCCACAATTACAGCTGTTCCCTTTTTCCACATCCTGGAGAGATTATCAGGCTGATCAAAAGCTAAAGGTAGGCCTAGAAGGGGCACCCCATGGTAAATAGCTTCCTGAACACCATTGGTCCCTCCATGGGCTACAAACACCTTAGTCTTGGGATGTCCAAGAAGGTCGTTCTGTGGCATCCATTTCACAAGCAACGTGTTGTTGCCAAGGGTAGCAGGCTGAGGTCCAGTGTACCTCCAAATGACTTTTTGAGGCAGTTGGGCAAAGGCGGCCGCTATCTCTTCAGCCACATCACTTAACAACTGTCCGAAAATGGTTCCTAAAGACATGACAATGACGCCATGTTCCCCTGAGCTCTGGACAAATTCTTCTAGGTCACTAGGAAGTGGTTTAGAGGGTTTGCATTGGAAGCCTCCCATGTAGACCACGTTTGGCATTGTAGGTCGTGGAAACTCAAATGTGAAGTCATTTCTCATGAGCCAGATGTCTGCATCCTGAAAGAGGGAGAAGTAATCAAGATCAGGCCCAAAGTACTTCTGACAGAAGGCTTTGTAAGGTTGGCCAAAGTATTTTGACTGCTGATAGAGAGTCACAGCATATGTCAGCACATTCTTGATTCTCTGGATAAAAGTCATCTTGTCTGTTAGCTGTGCTCCAGGAACGGGAATATAAGATAGAGGGGAGGGGGCGATGTCAAAGTGACCCTCTCCATGGATAGTCCAACGGACATTGAAAACAAGTGGGAGGCTAAGACGGTGTGCCAGTAGCACGCCACCTCCAAAAGCAGGGTCAGTCAAAACCAGATCGTATTTAGCATCCTGAAAAGAGTTCATCAGGGCCTCATTTTCAAACATCAGACCCGTCATATTGCAGATCTCTTCATGGTACTCAGAGATCTTCTGCAGGACCTCTTCTCCAAGCATGATTTCGTTCCAAAAGTATCTTCCTTCTTTTTGAATTTGCAACAAACGTACTGCAAAGTTGCTGAAGAAATGATCAGTAAAATTGCTCATTTCAAAAGTGATGGAAGTGTAGTAGGGAGACTCCTCTTTGATATGCAGGCTATTTGACCCTCTGAGTACAGTTATATTGTGGCCTTTTGAATGTAGCTCTGCAATGAGAACTTCCATATTAATCCAATGGCTTCCATCAACTGGGAATACCAAAATGTTACCACAGTAAGCCCCATATGGGATGGATAAGAGGCACAACAGGGTGAGAAGTCCTGAGTGATGCATCTTCTTTCAACCTTCAATAAGATAGAATAAAAGAACTTGTTATAGGTAATGATTTAAAAAAAAGTAAACAATTTAACATACAACCGCTTTTCTAAAAAAGTTGGGACGCTGTGCAAAATGTAAATAAAAACAAAATGCAATGATGTGCAAGTCATTTAAACCCTATAATTAATTGAAAATAGTACAAAGACAACTTATCAAATTTTTAACAAATTAATGTCAAAAATATATATACCCATTTTGAATTTGATGCCAACAACACGTTCCAAAAAAGTTGGGACGGGGGCAACAGGCTGGTAAAGTTGTGTAATGCTAAAAAACACACCTAAATAGTACTCTAAGATGATTATTATGTCTAAAAACACCACAGTCAGCAAATGGTGAACAAAAAGTGTCCAAAAGCTTTTCTGTATCCAGGCAAAATCTGAAGTGTGCAAGCACAGGACACTGCGCAGGGCTGTAATTCCAGAAGTATGCAGGGACTTAGCAGAAGTATTAGCAGCTGTTCTCAATGACAGATCATGTGCCATTAATACTTATGTTATAATTAACTTATGTTAAAATCCATTGTAAAATTATGACGATGTGTACTGTAATAAGTGATTGTGCTCAGTAAAACCTGCCGATTTCTGTTGTTTTTATAAGCTATCTTGGTATGTGCAATAAAATAATAATTGAAACTTATAATAGTTGCACTGAAGTAAATTTCTGTAGCTTGCAGGATGTTCATCCTCTAAAATACTAGGTTTTGGTGTCAGAGGGGTGACTGGCTGTGAAACTTGGAAAAGAGTCACAGTGTCTTAAATTTTGTAGTAAATCAGCAGGAGGATAGCTTGGACTAGCGCTGAGCAAAGTGTGTGAAAGAGTAGCATGAGAAAGAGTAGAGAAAAAGTAGAGAAAGAGCAGGGAATTACAGACGAATCGTAATAAAGCACAATCACAGTGTATGTAGCAGCTGCACATGTAATAAATTTAGGGCCAGTTTCCCAGACCCAGATTAAGGCTAATCCTAGACTCAAAGAATTTCCAATGGTGATTCAACATTGGCACTTCACTTTAGTCCAAGACTAGACCTAATCCCTGTCTGGGAAACCAGCCCTTAGTCTCTGTGAACAGAGGAAGAGAGACTGTTATATTTATATAGAGATTTTAGTTTTATTTAAAACTTTGATATAGAGACATTGTTACAGAGAGTCTGTATCAGTAAGACTCCAAACTGTTGAAGCTTTGTTTAGGAGCTACTATACGTATTAGATACATATAAGATATATATTAGATAAATATTAGATACATCAACTAGATTTATAATGATTTCACTTGCAAATATATTGTTTTTTTGCAGTACATGCTTATTGGGAGCCATAACGTTGAAAATTGCCTTCACGTGGTTCTGTTTGATAAAGACACTCTAATGGAATAGATGAACAAATACTTCATTAAAAAGCACTGAGTAAACCAAAAAAAGAGGGAAAAAACATTTATTAAAACCAACAACAATTGAAATAGGTTTGGACTTTTTTAACCATCTACTGCATCCATTATGAGAGCAGTTTTAAAAAATATATATGTTTGATTCTCTTTTCTTTCTTGTTGAGGCAACATTGTGTGACAATGGGCAGACATGATAGGGAGCTGTGTTCTCTGTTTCTGTTACTGATGTTTAATATTTATGCATGAGAATTCTGCACACTAGTATATAAAATATCTCAGGGTTGATCATTCTCCCTCTCAAGCTCCTACTAGCTTTGTCAAAGAATGTCATGGCATAGGCTTGTATATAAATGAAGTTTATTAACATCATCTAAATTCTGACCAACAAACAAAGGTAGTTATTTTAAGTAGGACACATCTAGACCATGTTAGGCTGCACTAAACACAAAACTTGAAATGAGATGTAGATAAACAGTATCTAATGCATTTACAACTGTAGAATAGTACATCATTCATGTTTTATTTTCTTTCTAAATAAAACATGATGCCAAAAATATCTGCTCACATAAACAGTAATAAACAGAATAATGATCATGGCTCCCAGCAGTGTGAGTATAACATCCACAGAGTGGTAGACCACCCACGACATCCTGAAAGACTGTGTGCGCAAGTGAGGAGCGCCTCCATGCCTCATAACATACTCAATCCAGAAGACTGCTCGATCCAGAGGTTTCATGGGCTGGTCTCGATGCAACCTAGACAGTCTCTGTATGTTCTCTCTGTAAGATGGATTATACAGCACCTCCTTCAGTGCCTGCAAAAACACAGTTCTGTCCAAAGTGGCAATGTCCACAAGTTTTGCAGCTCCCTTTTTCCACATCCTGGAGAGATTATCAGGCTGATCGAAAAGCAGAGGTAGGCCTAGAAGGGGCACCCCATGGTAAATAGCCTCCTGAACACCATTGGTCCCTCCATGCGCTACAAACACCCTAGTCTTGGGATGACCAAGGAAGTCATTCTGTGGCATCCAGTCCACAAGCAACGTGTTGTTGCCAAGGGTAGCAGGTCGAGGTCCAGTGTACCTCCAAATGACTTTTTGAGGCAGTTGGGCAAAGGCGGCCGCTATCTCTTCAGTGATATCTTGTGGAAGTTGACTGATGATAGTCCCTAAAGACATGATGATGACACCATGCTCACCAGAACTTAGAACAAACTTTTCTAGATTATCAGGAAGTGGTTTAGAAGGTTTGCATTGGAAGCCACCCATGTAGACCACGTTTGGCATTGTGGGTCTTGGAAACTCGAAAGTGAAGTCATTTCTCATGAGCCAGATGTCTGCATCCTGAAAGAGGGAGAAGTAATCAAGATCAGGCCCAAAGTACTTCTGACAGAAGGCTTTGTAGTGAGGACCTGTGATCACTGCCGCCTGGAAGAGGGTAAAAATATAACACAAAACATTCTGAACCCTTTGAGAGAATGTCATTTTATCTGTTAGCTCTGCTCCAGGGACAGGTACGTAAGAGAGAGGAGAGGGTGCTATTGCAAAGTGGCCTTCTCCATGGACCGTCCACCGAACATTGAAAATCAGAGGAATATTAAAGCGGTATGCTAAAATTGCACCACCTCCAACAGCAGGATCTGCTAGGATTACATCATACTTGGCATCCTGGATTGATTTCATCATGCCTTCATCCTCAAATATTTTTGTCATTATCTTTATCATATCTTCATGCAGGTCACTGAATTTGTAGATGATTTCTAACTCAAGAAGAAACTGAGTCCAAAAAGAGCTCCCCTCTCTCCGGATCTCCAACATCCGTCCGACAAATGAACTAAAGAATTTCTCATCAAACCCGCCTTCATTTGGAATAGTGATTGAAGTGTAGTAGGGAGACTCCTCCTTAATATACCAGCTGTTAGAAGCTCGTATCACAGTCAGATCATGGCCTCTTGAGTGGAGTTTCTCAATGATGACTTTCATATTTACCCAGTGGCTTCCATCCAGAGGAAACACCAATACCTTTCCCCCTTGTACTCCTGACAATGCAAATAAGAGTGCCCATAATGTGACTAGTACTGATTGAGGCATCTTCATTCACAGCACTGTGAAGAGAAAATAACTCTGTTTTATGATTACATTATACAATTTAATGAAATACTTCAGACATTATGAATTAATGACCTTCCTCTCTAAAAACATGCTGAATTTTCTCTAACATGTGGCCATGAACTGTTATGATTTGACTAAATAGTCAAGTAGGCGAAATGCAGAACCTGGAGCCTACAGTTGTCTGCAAAAGTCTGGGCACCCCTGGTCAAATTGCATGCTTTCTTGATGATTCTGTAAGTAAAAGTAAGTTAACACATCCTCTGCAGGAAACAAACTTAAATATGGCATTTTTCTGTAAATTTTACCGCACAATTTCTATTTATTTGCCGAGTTCAACATATTGGAAAAAATAAAACACACACATACACACACATTGTCCATATGGGTCCTGACCACTGAAGAACAGGGTAAAAGGGGGCTAACAAAGTATGCAGATAAACAGATGGACTACAGTCTGTAATTGTAGAACTACAAAGTGCACCTATATAGTAAGTGCAGCTGATAAAATGGACAATGAGCGTAGAAACAAGGAGGAGCGAATCAAACCCAGGCAAAAATAAAACATAAAACATAAAATGTGTAATAACTTTTGCAAAGGCCACATTGTATGTTTTGTTTTTTTTTTTCTTATGTCTTAAATTCAGCAAATAAATAGTAACTGTGTGTTAAAATGTGCAGCTGGGTGTTCTCTGTAGAGGATGTGTTAACTTATTTACATTTATTTAGGTTATTTACACTTATTTAAACATCATTTGACCAGGGCACCCAAACTTTTGCATTCGACTGCAGATAAGGCCATTCAACAATTAACACTATCATTTTTAACAGTCAGTCTGTTCGATGCGAAAATTATTTTGGCAGAGTGCACTTTTTTGTAAATAATGAGGACAAAAATTAATTGAACCTTTACACAGTAATTACTTCTTACCCACTGCTATAATGCTCTACAACGAGTCTCCTTACTGCAGAGATGGTACTGATCTCCTGCTATCTGAACTGTGATGAACCACATCACTGTATCTCCTCTCCGATTAATACACACTGTGCAATATATCATAACTACTACTGTAATGACACTTTCAACACGCACTTTACACTGTAATATTGAAGCAACTCCGAGTTAGTTATGTCTATACTCATTGTGCTTTTAGTTTACCTCATACCACTTAGTGCCTGCTATCATGTAAATACAACAAATCTGTCTCATATGCCATGTAAATATGCAAATAGGTATACTTTTATTTTATTTCTCTTGTACTTTAACTTATGTCTAGGTTTATTTCTATGTTTTATTTTCTGCATAGAAAATAAAACATAGAAAGATCATAAATGTGCTACTGGTAGTGAAATTATATGTGTTGCTACCGAAACACTGCAATTTCCCTTTGGGATCAATAAAGTTCTTTCTTTCTTTCTTTTCTTTTTTCCTTTCTTTTCTTTTTCTTTCTTTCTTTTTCCTTTCTTTCTTTCTTTCTTTCTTTCTAGCTGTCTAGCTATCTAGCTAAAACAGTAATTAATTAATGCTTTTAGAAAACATCCTGTCAAAGCACTTTAGCACTAAGAAAGATTTTATGAATGAGTAAGAAAAACATCTTACCTCTCATCTACACAGGTAATCCTCAAAAGATTTATGTGACGTGCTGGTACATGTGCGTGTATGAGATTTTGTTATGTCAAAGTAGTGCAAAAAGTACATCTGGAAAAGATTTTGGGATTATATAATTTGGTAGGAATGCCAAAAAAGTTGAGCACAATGAGTCAGTCAGTCCTAAAAGGCAAGTATTTCATAAATGTAATAATTAAAAATAGTCAATGATATTTATTTGTTGGATCTTGCATTGATGTCCGTTTTCATGCAATTCTTTGGACACTTAGCAATTTCCTATTTTATTTAGCCAAACACCGTTTAATTAATTGCTATAACTATAATAATATGATATATCCTTCAGAGTTTAAGGGTTTCTTATCCAACAAATAACTCATAGTCAAGTTCAAAATGGGGTTGGTGAAGTTAAGCCTGTGGCCTGTCAAAATTAAGTAATAAAATGTGCCGAGACCCTAAAGCTAGAGTTTCTGGAAACGTGGATTAGAAACTGGATTACTGTGTTGAAACCGTGGAAGACTTTACATAACTTGCAGAAGAGACACAATTTAGCATATATACAAGTAATTATACTTACCTAACTTTAGCAAATTCCACTGGCCGTCCAGAATTTCAGCCTCAAGTGTCAGGAGAGAAAGTCTTCCGTGGACTGGATGCAGTCTGCAAACAGCCGTGTAATCAGTGCATGTAGGTGAAGAGTCCTTCTGAATGTATGAGCAGAGTGAGGTCAGGGGGTTCTTTGAACTGGGTCCACTACATAGCTCTACTTGCAGAATGTCCAAAGGTCAATTTCTGAAGTACCTGTATACATATTCTGACACGTACATGCGTTAAAAGCTTTACAACTATTCAGGTAATGCTGAAAAGACCGCAAGTGCCAACATGTATTTACTTGTAAAAGAGCATGTCTACCTTTTCATTACAAACAGCCAACCACTTTTATCAATATCTGACAAGGCTGCCATTAAAAGTACAGCACATACGTCCTTTAAAACAAGTAAACTTTGATCATAAATGTGCTACTGGTAGCAGCAATAGGACTGACCTACCTGGCCTCTGGTGTTGTCTGAGTCAGACTTTCAAAAATAGTGAGGTAGAATTACTCCTCAGCTCTCTCACCCACTTTCAGCCACATGCCAGGGAGGTTATGAAAGGAAATGCTCTCAGGGATATTGTGTAACACAATATATGAATGGAGGGAAACCAAATCTGGGATTGAAGTTGTTCTACAGGATGTAGAACAATTGCCTTCTGTGCACAGCGTGTCCAATAACATGTCTCTGAATTCTTTTAAAGCACATAAAGATCCAGTATGGACCACAGACCACTGCTTATTTTTATTTATTATTTATTATATAAATTATTATTCAATGACAAGTTAGCCAACATCATAGTGATGACAAATTAACAGAGACAGATTTTTTGACTTAGCAAACTGCAAAAAAACACCTGGCCATTATGTTCCTGCCTTTCTGAGGACACTATGAAAGCTCTTGCTTTGTTTTGTTGGGATTAATTGGCAGGCTAGTTCATAGCTACTCCTAAACATGAAAAACAAGACTAAATCTAGAGTACAAGCCAATCCCAGCGCTGGAGGCAGAGTTAACCCCTCTCCTGACTGACTGCACCATCTGGAACAGAACTCTACAGTGTAAGTTTAATTAGGTAATCCACATATGTATAGTGTGAGATACCATGAGAGATATGTACAGTGAGGTATGTACTCTGAGAAATACAGTGACATGTACATCAAGAAATATGTACAGCGTGGGATACAGTGAGATAGAGATATGTAGTAGTACAATGAGAAATGTACAGTGAGAAACAGTGATGTACACAGTGTGAGAGTGTGTGTGTGTGTGTGTGTGATAGAGAGATTTCTGAGTCAAGCTCTTGTGGTAACTGTAAATACAGAGAGGAAAAGATATATACCCTTTTCTAAGTAAACATCTCAACATTTTGTTTCATAGTTTTTCTTTGATTTTGCTTTTCTTAGTCAAATTTAACAGTTGTTGCCAAGCAGGCATTTTTTGATTCTGAAAAAAAAATAGACATCAAGTTCGTGCTTCTTTTTCCCAGCAGTACCTGCTATAATTTATAAGAGTAAACATGGCAACATGCAGAGAAGACTACGATACATTACGAGACTAAATGAAACATTAAATGTAATGTTTTAAACTGGTCTAATCAAAGCAGAGGCCTGATCTCCAATAAACTACTGTAGAAGAACCTGCAGAAAACATTGCTGACAAAATCTACATGGAGAACAGGCCAAACATTTCTCCACAGTGGTACTGTGGTATTTCTTCTCAGAAGTGAAGAACGGAGACACTGCCTAACAGCTAGTGCCTGGTGTAGAAATGCACACAGTCCGCCCTCTTGTGGCAGACAAGAGATACAGGCAGGATGTGCTAGTAACTTTATTTACAAACGGTTAAACATACTTGACACCCTTCCAGAGTCCCCATGTACATATATACACATACACATACACACACACACACACACACACACACACCTATTAGATGTACGTACTTCCGCATGCATGCACGCACACACACGCGCACACAATTTTAAGGGGTTAAAGTTTCTTTTAGAGGTCATTCTAAAAACTTCAGTGATGCTTCAAAAAAAACAAACATTACAAATAGCCCTCGTAAAATTAATTTATTCATAAACTTGATGCAAGTTTACAAATTTTACTGTACATGGTCAAAATTCTCTTGCAATGGGAAAAACAACCTGAAAGCATGCCTAGAGTACGTATGATAACTAGTCCACCATGAGATGGCACCAGAAAAGAACACCGTGATCGGTCAATCTGAGGTCGGTCTTCCAAAGGAAAAAAAGAACAAGAGAAAGCCATCGCTGTCCAGTCATACGTGGTAGCACAATGGAGAATATGTTACCGACAGCAGTCCAGTTGGACAACAAACCAGCTTTATTAACTTTAAGAGGTGCAGGTGTGTCGAATTCCCAGATGAACTAAAAACCAAAGCAAGTAGGTCTGAAAATAGAGCAGCATCAATGTCAGAGATAACAGTACTCAGCTGTGCTGCTCTTAGAGAACATGAGTCAGAGAAGTGCTGGAAAGGAATGACAAGATCCTCTTTACAGCGCAAACAACCAACATACGCTTGAAAGCAATCCAACACACAATGCTTAACATTTCTATATGGAAACTTACATCTAGGTGATGGACTTATAGATTTGCAAGCCAGTGTTAGGATATGGCTTTCCGGTAATCATGATTGGCTCAGAGTCTGGACACAACTCCCACCCTTTGCAGTGATCTAGGAGGCACACTCTTAAAATTTTGTGCAAAAAGAGCCAAACGATCAAGAAAGATTTCTTACATCCAGGGCCATTTCTTAAGACTGTGTATTACATACATATCACCAAGCCATCAGACATGTTGAACTTCATGGGAATGAGAGAAGAACAGATGTCTATACTGAAGACCTGATTGCTGACGCTGTCTCACTCCACTTTAAATGAACCTGTACTAGGACCTGAAAACGTACTGAAGAGTGTGCTAAACTCTTCATTTAAAAACAAACACAGCACTGACAGAGAGAGCGCCATATTTCTTCATTAGTGTGGGCTGACAGATAATGCATGGGGATAAAATGTGGCAATGCAATGGTTTTCTGTCCTGAGTTACCACTTCGAATTGTGAGATGCCCTCAAAAAAGACTAGCTTGTTTGCAGTCAGCACTGAAAGTACAAGGATTTTATGGTGTGCAAAGAAACACTGATCCAACCAGTTGCAGCACACAGCACGACACGAGTTTTACCCACTGTAACAATGTCAGTCTAACAGACTTCTTGGAAGCTTCTTGGAAGATATTAAAAAAGTTAAAGTAGCAGTACTAAAAAAAAAAAAGAAATATTCCTCCTTGTCAATGTTCATTTTACCTTAAGCGTCTACGCTAGCTAATGGATCCTGAATGTGATTTTCTCTCACTCAACCGAAAAATACTAATATGGAATCATTAATTTGCTGATAACTTAAGGTTCACTGGTGAATCTGTATCAGCGGCTATTAAATGAAGTACAAGTGAATGTCCACCATTAAAATGAGTAAAGGAAGAATAATAATATCTTGACACCTTCAGAAACATGAGTACATGGTTCAAAACCCCTGAATAAATACAGTTTTCGGTGCTCGCCCCCCCCATCTCCATTTTGCACAAGTTTAAAACATCCAATTAAACACAGAGGTCTTAAACCCTCAGCTGAAAACTCTATGACTGACTGAGTACTGTGGCACAACCCAAGGCTGAAAATAAAAACCTACTTCACATAAACGGCACAATAAAGATGACTTGCACCTCAAATCCATTTACAAGTTTACAAGCAGACCTCTGTCCAACTACAGAACAATGACACATTCTCTTCTTTAGCCCGTTCCAATCAAGGCCTGCGTTTGACCGTTATTGGCCAAATTAGCCACAGGCTACAAAGCAAGACAGGAAAGCGAGTGGTATTCATCCACAGTTAATATTTGTGAACTGAATCTAGACACAGCCGCCACACACTCTCCCTTATCTTGACTTTAATCATTAGAATTAGGGCTGCTTGAGAAGCATGAGCATATAACTCTGGCAAATAATGATTCTTTAACAATATCGGCATTATATGTACCAGTACATGTTAACATAGAATGCAGAAGGTAAAGAAGAGATCAGTGCCAGCAGATACAAGAGAAGTGGCACATCTTCATATTGTCTCTTATTGCATCCATTCCTGTTTGAATTTCAGTAACTTCTGCCAAAAGTCTGGAGTCATGGTCATAAGAACATCCATTAAAGGCAGAAAAAGGGGATAAAAAAAATCCAGAAACTTCTTTTTATCTCCATTCAGGTATTAATCCGACAGAGCCGTACCTGTCGCTCCAGACAGTAAAACCAGACTGAGTCTGGTGGCATCTAAAATCATTCTGTGCAAGACCCCCATTAGTACCACGGCTCTGTGTCTCTCACACATCCCTCTTTTTCCCTGCAGCGAACTGGAGAAAATAAGAAATGAGAGCAGGAGAGAGTGATTACAAGAGAGACAGCAAGTAATGGGGAAAGACAGAAACAGAGAGAGGTCAAGTGCACACACACATGCCCACATACACACACACACACACACACACACACACACACACACGCACGCACACAACTTCCACAGAGACCAGTGGGACCTCACACTCCAGGTGAAGAGAAAGATTTGAGGGGAATAATATTACAAAAATAAAAAAGCAAATGGTTGATCAGAAATCCCATATTCCCAGTGTGCAGGAACAACGGCCACCTTCTTAACCATCTTCTTTAGGGGGTGTGTACCAGCCTGTAGGGCAAAAAAACAGGGATACAAAATCACCTTTTAATAATGGGATGAGGTGAGTGTCAATCCATATCCAAAACAAATAGAGGAAAGAGTCCTTTGTGAAGGTGTGGACATGTTCTTTACCATTCTTTTCGTGGATCTGGACCAAAGACTTGTATGACTGTTGTGCTCTGGCAAGATTATACTGGTTCTATCAAAGAAAAAAAAAATATCAGCGTTGCAGCACAAAATCATGTTAGATTTAAGCGTTCAAGAAAGGACAAAGACACTTGGTACAAACCTTATTAGCTCCAAACTGTACTCTAGCTTTCCCTTTAACTAGAGTGGCATTGATCTGCATGATGACAGACTC